AAAAAAAAAAAAAAAAAGAACGGTCTTGCGACACCGGCCACGAATACATAACGACAAATCGAACGTTGCCATCCGTACGAGCGGAACACACGCCTTTTACAGCGTCCTATTTTTAATAATCGCATTAACCGAGCAAAAAAAAAAAGAAAAAGAGCACGAGGATATCGCGAGGAATGGGTGATTCTTTTTCCCGCAAAACTAAAAACTGGAATATCGTATAGGAGAATCTGGCGAATCGAATTTATTTGTTTGCTTGATAAAACAGCTGTAGAGGGGGGGAAGGAATATTTCGCGGAAATTGATTATCTTCGCCGCGGTAATCGAATCTTGGCGATGGAAATATTCCCATAGAGGTCACGGTTTCTGACCTTTCCCTCCTCGTAATCGTATTTCGTTAATTTCATTCGGTCCGCGTCGGAAGTTGGTCGTAACACGGGGGAGGGAGGGGTTGGTGGCGCGTGTTTCGCCGGAAACCGAAAGGAATTTCGCTTATTTATCCATAGTCGTGTCGACCCCGATTTTAGACGCTGTGTGCAACCGTTCGTTTATATGAGTATGCATGACGCATGATGTGTGAGACGTGTCTTTGAAAACCGGTGTCCATTAAAAACCGCTTTGAGAAAACCTGCACTTGTGTACTGCATATGGTGTGTACGCAGCTGCATGCCTGCAGTGTGTCGCGATTGTGCTCGTAATTACCCCCCCGAATCTCACGTGCGTACGCACATATTCTCGCTTTCTTCTCGACAGATGTGAAGCGCCGGCAGAGTCTCTACGACGAGGATTCCCTCGATGGCGATCATCCTAGCGAGAACGAAGGTATCACGTTTTCAAAGGGCAGTGTCGAGGCTGATTTTCGTTTTTACTTCAGTACTTTTCATATCGGAATTTTCAGTATTTTTGAAAAAATATTTTCACGTTTAAAACGAGTTAAACGGTAAAAATCAATGTTATTCTCTTCGATATATGTCGTAAATTACGGGAAAGATTCGTTCGACGAAGACGATTTTTGTCAATTCGCGAAACGAGTCAAAGTTTTAAAAAAAACGGAGTAAATTTTTATTACATTCGAGAACTGTCTGGGTTGTTAAACACGTTGGTGTGTTTTAAGCGGAAGAAACGCGAAGCTCACTCGGCGAGGAGAAATAATCGATCCTCGCGGTTGTTCTCAGGACGGGAGTCGACGGGAAACGCGAAAGACGTGGACAGGGCGAAGCTCGTCCGTGAGAGACAGAACGAAGAACGGCAGCGGAAGTTGGAAGAGCTGAGACAGCAGGCGTTCGCCGCGCAACGTTTCCGGGAGCAACGGGAAGAGGAACGTCGAAGACGCATCGACGAGCTCAGATCGCGTGACAATGACAGGTTTGTACTTTTATTTTTTCCTTTCTTTTTTCTTTCTTTTTCCTCCCCTCTCCCCTTCGCGAGTTATTATTCACTGCTGTGCGATATAATCGAATAGCACGCGTTCAACGATACGTGAAAATTCGTGAAAACGAAGTAAAAGTACGGGTAGAGGGAACTCTCACGCTCGAGAAAAAGACGAGAGAGATTAATTAGGTTGAAAGAAAGAGAGAAAAAGTTGTTGAATTCCGTTTGAAATTGGGTTATTTAATAGGAGAGAGAACGATAACTTCACCTTGAGGC